TTACATGCCACAAGAAGACTTGACTTGAGATGTTCAATGAAATGATCTCCAATATTTTCTCCATTGTCCAAATTATGTGTCTAGCTTGTGACTAAAATGAAAATTAACTTTATTATTGCTTGGGAGACATGACTATGAATTGATACCTGAATGCACCAGGAAGTCTCAGTCTTCAACTACAGACCCTCAATTCCCCACATTAAGTTGTCCTCTATCCCTGACAATTTTCCTTTTAATTAAAATGCAGCCTGATAGGCAGAATCTTGAGGAACATAAAGAAGTTATGTGATTCACTCAACCATTTGTATGCATGTGTGACCTATTTAGCTTTCAAAATCCTATTTAATGCCAGAAAACTATGTTAGAGAATTCAAACAAAAGCTCACGGGGAGTCCCATAATGAGACTGTTTTGATTATTCCAGTGATTAGCCCATTTCCTCTCTCCTCAGTAATTTCATTTAGAACAGTAGTCATTTAAAGAACAAGACTTTTTTTATTGCTTTTCTAGTTTGCTGTGAAATTGGCAAGCGGCCAACCATCTGTGAAACTGCAATTATTAGTATTACTTAAAATTTATCAAACCTCTTCAGGTACTATGGAAGTACATTCTCCTTGCCTGCAAAGACAAGGCATGAATGAGACCTAACTTTGCACAAAAGGAGATATTATCACTCTATGCTTCAACCTCTGTAATCCCAAAGTCTCAGAAATGGTATTTGGGGACACCATTGGAAACATGTTGACTGAAGATTTTCATCCACTGTTGTAAGGTCTCTACCCCTCTTTGCCTTGGAACCTACTTCTTTGTTCCATGAGGAATATACATTTATTTGCCATTCAGTATTTACTGAAATGTATGGCTGTGTCGATTTCTTACAATGCAGTTGACTCCTGAATTATTCTAGCAGTACTGCTTCCTTTGAGCTCACGTTTCTTTCTTGCTCTTTTACGTTTTTACATATGTAGCAATGAAAGATTGGTAAAGATGCTTGACATATTACCACTAGAACACCTCTCATTTCTCCACCACCTTGGCCATAGACTTCTGATAATGAGGTCTGAGCAGTAAGATGGGGCAGAGCCAGCTCTGTTCTTCAGTAGTACAAATCCCCAAACATCCTCCTCATAGTGGGCAGAAATGTTTGTTTCACCCCACCGTTCTACTTGAGACAGTGACATCTAGTGGCAGAAAGACATGGCTAGGCACCGTGCTGCCAGCCTGCCACGGTGAAGGATGTGGTGAAGGATGTAACAGTGAATCTTTTAATACGTATGGTAATATCTTGGATTGAATCATTATACAGTGTATTCAGGATGGGAGAATTCATTTGGCATGCTGTAATGATACACAGTAATTGAATGTTAAAAATTTTAAAAAGCATAAATAAATAAGTAAAAAATACAGTGGAGCCAGCCAGGTGGCATGGTGGTCGGGGCAACTGGATCTCACATGGCCAATTGTGCAATTTGAATCTTGGACCCAGTGGCTTGAAAAACGTGTGTACGTGTGTGCCCAGAATTCCGAGAGGAGGATGAAGCAGAAGGGATTGACGTGTGGTCATCTCCCCTGGACAGTGCTTTTTCAGTTTCTCTCTCCAGTGAATGCCACACCCTATAACAAATAGAAAAACAAAGAAACAAGCAAAGCAAAACAGAGTGTTCACACACCCAGGTTCACTTAAATGGACCAGATCTACACCTATTGTCTAGGCATAATGATGAAGAGTGCCCACTTTCAACTCTGGAAGTATTAGTGAATTGGATAAGGAATTACAAATTCGGCCAACCTAAGCTAGCCACCGTGCTGCCAGCCTGCCACGGTGAAGGATGTGGTGAAGGATGTAACAGTGAATCTTTTAATACGTATGGTAATATCTTGGATTGAATCATTATACAGTGTATTCAGGATGGGAGAATTCATTTGGCATGCTGTAATGATACACAGTAATTGAATGTTAAAAATTTTAAAAAGCATAAATAAATAAGTAAAAAATACAGTGGAGCCAGCCAGGTGGCATGGTGGTCGGGGCAACTGGATCTCACATGGCCAATTGTGCAATTTGAATCTTGGACCCAGTGGCTTGAAAAACGTGTGTACGTGTGTGCCCAGAATTCCGAGAGGAGGATGAAGCAGAAGGGATTGACGTGTGGTCATCTCCCCTGGACAGTGCTTTTTCAGTTTCTCTCTCCAGTGAATGCCACACCCTATAACAAATAGAAAAACAAAGAAACAAGCAAAGCAAAACAGAGTGTTCACACACCCAGGTTCACTTAAATGGACCAGATCTACACCTATTGTCTAGGCATAATGATGAAGAGTGCCCACTTTCAACTCTGGAAGTATTAGTGAATTGGATAAGGAATTACAAATTCGGCCAACCTAATACAACCTAATTGTAGCTCTCCCTTCTGTTAGATGGCCTATGGTTATATTTTTAGCTGATACAATTAGCTTGGAGTACTGAGTTCCAGAAGGTTATTCTCCATGTGTGAAGCAATATTTACCTTTATCTGTCCTGGAATGATCCTCAGAGAGTACAGCACTGGGTTCCAACTCAAATGCTGAGGGCTTGGTGAACTAGCTCATTTTTACGCTTTTACAGATTTTAGTTTTTCCACATTAGGCCTTTGTTCATCCAGATGGAAGGCTCTAATCTTAGAATCTATTCAGAGATGGAAGGCCCTAATCTTGGAATCTATTCCAAGTTCCTTTTGTTATTCAGGCTGCAGTAGTATGTGGAGGTAACTTGTCTGATTGTCTGAGAAGTGACGCACAGTGGTTTGTCCTTTCAGGCATTGATGAAAAGGCCATCTGGTAGGGGCAGGGCTGGCTTTCCAGCTGTATTGTAATTTCTTAGAATTAAATGTTTTTGATCATATAGAAGTGAAGGGCACCCTGTCTTGGTGGCCCACAGTGAGCCCTCTGTTATGCTTGCAAAAGAAGACAGAAAAGGAAAGAAGAAAGAAAGAGAGAAAAACAAAACAACAACAAAAAAATAGGAAGCAAAGAAGGAAAAGTGAAAGATCAGTGTACATAAGAAGCAATGTTATAAATTAAAAACACTATTTGTGAGTAAAAAAAAAAAAAGAAAAGAACTTCATTGCTTCAGGTATGAATCTGGAGAGTCGAACATTGCAAGCAATTGAAAAATCTTTTCTAGAAGGATGCATTTAAATGACCATGTGAATTCTTCCCCTCCAAGAATGAGAATTTTACAGAAAAAAAAATACTCAAGTAATTTTTTAAAAAGTAACATTTTGTAAAAGAATATCTTTATACTTTGTATTTATGATTTAGAAGTTAGAGATTCTATTAAAAATGAATATCTTCCACGTGCAGATGTTTTTTGTTGAGTATTAAAAATAAGCTAGATCTGGGACTGGCAGGTGGTGTGGTGGTTAAAGGTGCTGGATTCCCACATGGTCAACTGTGGTTCAAGTCCCGGACGTGGTGGCCTGCTTTCTTACTTGCCCTCTCTGTTTCTCTCTGGTCAAATTAAAATAATAATAATGATGATAATGATAAATAATTAAATGAAAAACAATTTTAAAGAAAAGCTAGATCTGATTTTAGCTCCTGGTATCTCAGACATTATAATTCTACTTCCCCCACCACCTGCCAATGTCGAACATCAAGATAATAACATTAATATAGTCCTGGTGCTGAATTTCAATTGTTTCTATTTTTTCTCATGCTCATAGTCACAAAAAGTATTCAAATATTTCCCTATCATACCACTGAATGAACTTATAAGTGTTTAAGAAACCCATTTCTTTCTCTTACAAAAATTATATTAATAATTCATTAGGGAACCAGATGAAACATGGTATGTCCATTTAACATGCATACTAATTGAGCCCCAATCACTTGGAATTGTTGGACATCTAGCTATAGAGTGAGATGAAGTTCAACTTTATTTCATCTTTGACCCAAGAGCTTACTAATAAAAGTAAACATTTTTAGAGATTTGTATTTTTGAGGCAAACATTTTTAAAGCCATCAGTCACATTTTTCAAGCAAATTATTTATGTTAAGTATGTGTTGTTCTATTTATAAAAGCAGATTGTGATGGATTTCAATCTAAGCAGTTTATTGAGCTGTTATTTTTTCCTAAAAAAATGAGTATTTTTCTTTAAAAGATTTAAATGATTATTCAATTTTATTAATTATTATTGTTATTTTGTTTGCTATAGTGCACATGCATTCACCCAAGATAGGCAGACAGAGAGAGGAAGAGAGAGAGAAGGAAAGTGAAAAAGCAAGTTGTCAGGTCCGGGACTTGAACTGTGGTTGGGTCTGCCATGTGGGAGTCCAGCACCCTAACCACCACACCACCTGCCAGCCCCTAAAAAAATAGACTTAATGAGTCAGAAACAGTCTTTTTGGCCCATATAATTTTTGAGGTCTGATTGTGAACAGCAGTGACAAGAACATGTTAATGTACATACAATCTATTGTAGGTGCTTAAGGGGTTTGCAGGGTGACAGCAGTTAATGGAGGAGGGACAATTAGAAGACACTATAAATCCTGAGCAGAAATATGAACAATCCCTGCTTTCTAACTGCTGTGCTCTGAGGATATTCATCCTCTGGGTTTGCTGCTGTATACAGGCAGAGTACACAGAACTTTGTTCTTTATGAGACACTTTATGAGAAACTTATTTCTTGGGGACAAATTTATATTGGCTTGCATGTGTTTTAAATGTGAGCTTGAAGGTTGTGGCCTGAGAGCCTTCAGAAGCCTCAGATAAATAATTTTGCAAATTGCAAGAGTGTTTAATTTTGCTTTTTGAAACTATAGCTTTGAGACCCACTGTGCCCTTCCTAATTTGGAAATATTTTCTTTCTGGTTTTTATTTTGACATGTACCCAGCTATCTACTTTTGTTGCTATTTCTAGTATCCCAAGGGAGCTGCTTTCTGGTTGTCATAGTGCAGGCAAACACACAAGAAAACCAAGAACTCAGTGCTTTCATAAAGCATTTATTTTTATTTGAAAACATTATACAGGCATTACATTGCCACAGCCAGTCCAGAGGGGAGCATGCAAATATCAAAAATGGACAGTTTGTTCAACTTATCGGTGTAAATTTCTTTTTTGGTTTGTATTTTCCATTTGCAGTGTCAAGATTAGTGTGCTTTGTTATGTGACTTAATAACAGAATCCTACCCATGGGGTAAACTCTGTACTGGTAGCTAGCTGGGGACTACTAAATGGTTACAAATCAAAATCAAACCCAAAACAATACTACACGTTTGTCAAAAGGTTAATACACAAGTTAGCAATATCTAAACTAAACACTGAGACATTTTCATGGGACACGGTGGTGCCGATTTTCCTTTGCTTAGTCTACCTGGTTGTATATTTCCGAGTTTGAAGCTGGTGGGAAGGTCTGACCAAGGCAAGCTCTGTCCCCAGTACACGTTTTCATTGAGAAGGTGAGAACCACCACTTTTCTCTAGTGGGGTTTAGGAGAGCTAGGGTTTGCTCTGCCCCATTCAACTTCTTTATAAATTCCTCAAGTCTCACTTGTTGAGGAGAGATCGGTGGTGGACTGAAAAGCTGACATTTTTGCTGGTGTCTACTAAGGTTATGAAATTTCAGAAACTAAAATAGCTAGAGTTTATACTTTCCTGCTCTCATGTCCCCCCCGCCCCATTCCCAAAGGACCAATATTTTTACATAGAAAAAAAAAATCACTGTTTGCTTTTCTAAAGGGTCAATCTAGAACTCCTGATCTTGGATAATTCCGTATGTTATCAACCTTTCTAAATGGAGACAACCCAACACAGTAAGGTAATCCAGCAACATGAAACTCTGTGTACAGGATGCTGGGTGATACGATGAGTTCATCTGTACATTCATACTTGGTTTCCATACAATGGAGTCAATTCAAATATCCTATAAAATAATTTAGATGGCAACTTTTAGCCATGTGTTGATTGCAAACCATTCTGAAATTTACGTTTTAAAAAAATTCCCAGTCCACTGAGTGTATTTATTTGAATCTAATACCATAGTTTGATCTACTTCTCTTAAGACTTTACTAAATGCCTACAAATGAGTGTCATAAAAATGAACAAAAGATGAAAACATTTGGCTTAAAATAAATACTAAAAATGCAATAAATCAAGCAAATTATGCAAACCAAAGGAATGTAAACACAAAAATAAAACCACAGTCTTTAAAGGTCTTCAAATCTGAATGGACAAAACATTTAGAGAAAGGTATTTAATTGGTTGAAAAGGTAGCAGAGAGCAGATGTTGGCAAAATTGCTTCTATTTGATGTAGTTTTATTTTTATTGATTTTTTTTTTCCCTCCACAGAAAATGAAATACATTTCTAAGGGGGCTGAACTGAGATGACTGTAAAATCTGTATATCAGAGATTTTTTTTATCCCAGTGCAAGGGTGGGACCATCTGTCCAGTGTAGAAGGAGGGCAGAAAAGGCTACATTGTTGACCAGCAGCCTAGGCTATGTTTGCCTGCCAGGCTCTCTGGGAGTCCTGACTATACTGCAATTATGTCCTTTCAATTTATAGAGACCCCACTGATGTTTTGCTTTGCTTGCTTGCTTGCTTAAGATATATTGACTTGAATTGTCCAAAGCTTTATCAACACTTATTTTTCTTTTACAAACCCTGTAACTCCATTGAGAATCTATCTGTCTGAATGATATTGAAGTTGGTCGATCTCAAAGGGCACTTCACATAGTGGCAAGTAAAATCTATTCTAAATGATAGAAGCTGTGGTGTTTCTTAATTTCCTGTGTTTGAAGAAAGGACTATTTTGAGGGCAACGGATTAGACTAGTGATGTATCACTCAAAGCCTTATCAGGACCCTGTAATATTCTCTGAATCCAGAAGAATGTTATGTTAATACATTCTGCTATTGAATGGATGGATGCCAAATACGAGCATGGTGCAGGACGTTTTCAATGGTGACATCTTTGCCATTACAAAATGACCAGATCAGTTGAGCAATTTTCAGAGACAGCTCCACATCAGCACCTTGACTTTGTTAAGAGGGTGCACAACCAATGAGACTCCACAATAAAGACCATTTCCACGCTGGTGTATTTCAGAACGGGTGACACACAACTAAGAGGGCAGAGGGTCATGGCTACTTTCAGTGCCTTAATTTTCATATCATTCAAGAAATCTAGACAAAAAGGGGGGAAATGAAACAAATCATTTTTAAAGAGAGGGAGGGGCAGAAGGATTTAAAAACTATATAACCCTAAACACAGATAATATTATTTCTGGGGTTTCCCATAAGCCACAGAAATGCAATAGTCCTTACCCTGTTATTTCAGGGACTTGATTAGCAGGATCACATGGTGCAACAGAAAGGCAATGTCCTGGAGTAGTCAGAGATTGAAATATAAAAAGGCTAAAATGTTTGCTTTATATCTATTCCTAGAATAGAGAATTATATGGTCAGTTGCCCCTCCCCACAAGGGTCACAGCACAAAATACTTATTGAGCAGGCAATCCAACAGGTAACAGAGGAAACCATTAGCCACCAGGTCCCTAGGATAAAGAAACTTCTCAAGGGTGGAGCTCCTGTGGCATGCATCACTCAGATAGTCTGTGCAAAAAATAAAATATGATTCTTAAAAAGTGACTCGCCATAGAAAAGTGGGATATATGTGGTCTACATGTGGGTCTGACAATAGTTCCCATCAGGAGTACAAAACACTCTCCTGAAAATTGGTGTAATAATAGTAACAATAATAATACAAATAATAATAACGACAATACTTGTTTTTGATTCAAAAAGTTTCACAGTAATTAATGCAGGAGAGTTGTGATGAGGATACACACACTGGCTAGGCATCTCTCCAAGTCAGGTGGATTGGAGCCTGTGTCTCTAGTGATGTTTAGCTTGTTCCTGGTGCAGGCTTTAAGAGGCTTTGCTACCTCGCAGTTCACCTGTGTAAACTGCACCTAGTAAATACCTTTCTCTATGTACAATACAGAGATGATGAGCGAACACGTGGCCACTGAGCTGTTCTCAGTGGGCTGAGTGGCCTCATTCTAGGCCACACGAACATGGGGCTCCTCTTCAGTCTCCTGGCCCAGGCTGGTGTAGGTGACTGCAGGCTCCACTTGAGCTGTGGTTGGCAAGTCCACAACAGGTCCTGAAGGATTGCGGAACTGCTTGTACACTCGGGGGTCCTGGGCTATGTATGTGGAGGTGGAAGAGTAGAGCACCAGCCCAATGAGGATGGTGAAGAAAGACAGGAGATAGAGTCCTGAAAACTAAGCACACAACAACAAGGTTACTTAGCAGTCAGAGCAGAACCCAGGCACTGTGATGAGGTCATGAGAGGCCCATGAGCTACCTCCTCTCCAACAGGCAGCTTGCAGGGTTGGCCAGCACTCGTGCTGAAAGGTGACTTTTCTTTCCTAAAATGGCTTGGTCTTATTGATTCCCTTTATCTTTTGTCTAGAGCCAGTGGCTAACACAGTGGAACACTTAACTAATTGTCTCTAAAGTACCAATATGAGCACCTGGCAAGAGAGCTGGTTAAGCACACATTAAAGTACGTCAAGTTAAATGCAAAAAGTCTCCAATATCATTCAATAAAGAAGTGGTCATTGTAGCCTCATTAAACCTGGAAGAAATATAGGTATTCCATTTAAGGTCGTAATGAAGCCGTAAACAATGAACCTGTCACTGACAGCTGCATTGGGGCACTCTCATTTCACCTTAATCTACTTTAGACATTTTTGTCTTCCCAGTAGGAATTGTTATTGACTGTGGTAACTATTTTTGCAAGATTAGGTTATCCTTGGACATAAAGAAGTAGTATAACATTCTGTTCTTGCCTCACTGATCTAAAACAAAACCAAACACAAACGAATATACAGCATTATGTTCCAAATAGACTTGCTTGACAGTTCATAGGGTTTTGAAGGTGAGAGAGGAGAAAATATTGGTTTATTCTGGTTCTAAAAATGTATATGTTTTTGAAAACTACGACATCTGGACTTTCTTGAATATTACACCAGAAGTAGTTACTTGGGTAGTTGCTGGGGGGGAGTAAGGTTAACAATAGGGATATTAACATTTCTATTGTTTTATTCATGCATTCAGTGAATAGTTCCTTGTATACCTTCATTACATCAAACATTTAACTCTCTAGTGGGGAAAGAGAAATAAAAAATTATGGCACACTGGGAATGTAATGCCCTGCAACACTGAGACCATCTGTGAGAAGGGGTCATGGCCTTGTGCACACTGAATGTGTGCATGTTTGCTCATGATCTTAGCTGGCTGAGGCTGGGGGTAGGGTTGCAATGTGAATAAATACCCTGCTGTGGGGTACCTGTCACTTTCTCTCTCTCAGTAAAAAATGAATCAATACACTTTTAGAAATCATGGTTGGTTCTTACATTCAAAGAGCTAATAGTCTCAGTGGAGAAACAGAGGTACAGATAGGCAAAATCAATATAATGCACTTTAGGCATGCCAAGTCTCATTTCAGTCAATAGCTATTATCCCAGTCTTGATCACATTCTGCATCCATGGGGAAAAGAAGATCAATTTTATTTTCCTATTTTATTTTTTATGCTCGTACTTTGAGATATCTAAAAACTGGTAAAAAAAAAAAAAAGATAAAAACTAATTGGAATCTGGAAGAAAAGAGAACAAGAAAATGACCCAGAGATTTTCTGAAGTTACAGGGCTATAATAAAAAGCTAAAAGATAGCTATAATTGGTACTTCAGTCATAGAAAAGTCAAGCTTGAACAAAGCACACAGGAGAAGTATTCCTACAGCTAAAAGTCTCTGCTCCAATCTCCCTCTTTTACTCTTCCTCCCTTCTTTCCCTTCCTTCTTTCTTTCTTGTTATTATAACAACGATAACTATAGTAATCTGATATATCTCATATTGTATTATCCTGATATAATAATTGATTTAATCTTTCTTCCCAATTACCCCTTCACTGAGAAGTGGTGTCCTTTTTGACCAATGTGAAGCACAGAGTCTGGCACAGTGTAGACATCTACCAAGTACTGCTATTTGTTTTTATAGGAATTTCATTATGGAGAAATTTCAGGCTAAAGAAAGAAACAAAAAATAATTAGCCTGGCTCAGTGGAGTATTTCAAGCTTTTAGCTTTAAATGAGATAATACAATGTCATTCTTCATCCATAAAATACTAAACATAAATTCATTGAAAAGGAAGACTTAATATTGGTCTGTAATCATCTTCTAAAAGTCATCTTCAAATCTGGAGCCAGTCAGAGGTGAATGAGAAGACAACGAGCAGGTAAGGGCAGTGGAGAAGGCAAGAGTCAGGGTAGAAGACTGGGGATGGCTGATCGGGGGGTTGGCATAGACACTTTCATAATTGGAAGTGGGCGGGATGTGGTCTTTGAAACAATGAAGATGTGAGTGCAGGAGAGGGTCTGATAGGGCCCTAGGTAGAAGGACATGCATTATTCTCAGTATCTGATTTTAGATCCTATATCTTGACTTGATGACTATGACAAAGATTGTACTAGATTTTCTAAAGCTAATGTCTTTGCCCTTGTGAGAAAGGATTCCTTAACATACCGCGTAAGAGGACTGTCTCTTGTTTGGACAAGGAACCATCAAGTTGGGGGTAATAAATCAAGAATGTTTGTGGGGGGGAGTGGGTACAGCTTTTGGAGAATGGCAGCACATACTTTATTTCCAGTGTAATTCTATTTAATTCATACAGAATTCACTCTTAACATTATTCAAAGGATAGATAGCATGGAATTTTATATGACAGAGGCATCTTGGAAGTCATCCAAGAGGTTTTATTAATAGATGGTAGAGAACGTTTTCATTTAATATACAAGCCCGAAAAGGGAGCAGTCAGGCAAGCATTATAATTAATCAGGAAAAATACTGAGTATTCTAAAAAATGACAGAAAATGTTGTCTTTAAAAAAAAAAGTAAGAAAAACTGACCTCTTCCCCCCATTCTAGCTTAGTAGAGAAAAAGAAAACATAATCAGGGTTACCTAACAGAATGACCGTAGTTCCAGATACTGTAATTACTTTATAGCGTATTTGTTTCATTAACCAGGCACACAAAATTTTTGTACAATTAGGCTGCTTAGCTGCAAAGAAATACTTATTTCTAGTTTCCAAAACAAAGAGAATAGGAACTTTTCTGGACACTACATGAGGAAAGGGAGCTGTCTCAGAGTTACAAACAAGGCATGTTTCAGACAGAGGCTTGCTTGTTTCCACTGAAGGACAGGGACTGCTACTTGAAGTGTGCTTGGTGGTCATCCTCTTAGCTGACTGTGGCCATGCAAATATGTTCTATGTTCTGTGTGGCTGATGACTTTTGCCTGCATTTTGTGTAAATGGTAGCATTTAGAAGCTGAGAAAGGATGCACCTTAGGTTAACACTAGCACACTGCAGACACTGTGGACTTTGTTGCTGTCTTTTTCCCTCTTGATGAATCACTCTCCAAACAAGGGTCAGAAAGTACTCACTGTACATAATGAGAACCTCTGTGTGTTGCTTAAAGCAATCTGACCAAGACACAAGCCAATGTACAGGAAGGGGTGGTTTGGAAGACTGATAATAAGCCTGAACAAAATTCCATGACTGCCAGTTAACCTTGGCTCTTACACACTTGGCATTTCGGTATGTTTGCTAGTGAGCTAATATGGCATTCAGCACATCAGATAAGGACATATTAAAATTTTTTTACATTTTGCATTAAGCAGCTATGTTGAATTTTAATATACTAATGATTTCAATGGAACTAAGCCTATACATATAGAAAAACTACATGGTTTCAAAATCATTTCAAAATACATTTGTCAATATATCATCTAGAATATGTGAGGAAGGAGACCACTTTTCAAGGGTAGCTTTGTTTTTCTAGCTTGATTAAAAAGATGGCAGGAGTCAGAAGACAAAAAACTGAGCAGAGAGGTATAAAATAGAGGTATAAAATGAGAGATGTGGGTTTAAGCTCTATTACACTGAGTATATGTGCCAACTGTTCATGTATGCTGGGCCTGTTTTTTCCTTCTTTCCTGGAAAGGGCACCTTCAGAGTCCCTTTAAAGACACATGCCTCCGTGTTACACAGTTTTTATAAGGGTCTCGATTCTGGGCTTTGGTCATTTTTGCTAAACGTCTATGCTAATTTATGAGAATACATTACTAATTTGATGGATAATGAGATTCCTTTAACTCTTAAAGGTAGATGTGTGACAGTTTTTATAGCAAAAAAAAAAAAGATTCAGTGGAAAAATGAACCTGTGCTACTCATGAGACGTGGCAGAGGACTGGAAAAAGAGTTGATGGAATGAAACTTGGGGCAAAGCTCCTGGGGTTACCTGAGAAAAAGGAACTCTACATTTAACTTGGAGATCCAAGGAAGCTCAGATAAAATGCAGGGGCAAAAAGGAAGAAAGTTAGGTCGAACTAAAAAGAAAAAAGATACACATAGAAAATATCTTAATAGGTAGGAAGAAAGCAGACTGCAGAACTAGATAACCAAAACATAATGATTTTTGTCTAATCAACATGTGTTCTCTGCATCTGTTTTATGTACACTGGTCTCTATTGGTCTCTTTTTGCACACATTTGTGTATACACACACACACACACAAATGGGGGCCCCTACTGCTGACTTGATTTGCTTCCTGAGCTTTCATTTCTATCAGGTCATTGGGAAAGTCATGATGCATTTTTGAATAGAAACACATGGAAAAATACATCATGATGTTTCAGATGACCTAATATAGTGGACACTTGTGTTTTGAGAGGTGAGAAGACTGGGAGGACACTGCCCTCGATGGCTGCTCTTGTACCACAGAGAAAGGGAAAGGCAATGCCTTCAAGCCCTCAGGTGTTCCCAAGGCCATCTACAAGCAGAGGAAGGAAATACCAAATACCTCACGCCTTAGTTCAAGGGTGAGACTGTTAAACTTGAAAAGATGTGTAGCCTTTGGGGGCTCTACTGGATCTGCATCTGTCACTGAAAGAGGCACACGGTTTGGAAACATGATGGTAGTTCCTGAACTGCATGGGAAGGCTGTACAGAAGGGAAGTCCAGGATATTTCTTAGTGTTTTCAGATATGGCTTCTGGTGCAGAGAGATTAGGATTTCAATAGATGAAGACTATGTGGTCATGGCAATGATTTCCTTTCTAGTTATTCAATTTATTCTTTTAAAAAGATACAGATGTAATTAAATCTTCCCCCTTCTTTAATTTTTTGGCAGAAAATACCTATGAGGATAGAGTTTTTGG